TCTGTCACTCTATTTTGCTGTTTTGTGAGGTCTGCTCCAAAAGTAATCTCTCCTATTTTATTATGTTGCTGACCAATGTTGGAGGCAGATGTTGGTGGTACGGCAGTAGAGGTTGAACCTTCCCAACAGTATTCCTTTACATGTTGTTGCCATGTGACAGATGGCAGTAGAGGGGCAGATTTTTATGAGTGTGTATAATTGTTCATAGCCGGTGAAAATGCATGGCTAATAGTGATGACTATGTTGTAAAAATAGCGTTTTGTAGCTGAGAATTTGCTCTATCAAATAGTGTTATTGAGCTCTATCTGTTGTAGTTTTCATGAAAATAAATGAGAAGCATTACTTTCAGAGATCTACACACACCCACAGATACACATCCACCCACATATGCAAACTGCGTATCCCATCCAAAACCCCGGAGAGGGAGAGATGAAACAAGAGAGAGCTTTCCTCTGTAAAAGTCAAGGAGAGAACTGTCTGAATCCATTAGGGAGGAAAGGAAGATAGCAGGAAAAAGAAATCTCAAAGATATTTTCACAAAGGGCAGAGGGGTCATTAAAACATTGGAGAAATGCAACGTTATTTCTTTGGCAAGCCATCTAAGCACTTTTCTTCATTTCTTTAAGTGGCTGCGCTGAATGGGCTGCAGCTTTCTTGATTCTAGAACTTGCTGCACTAGGAGGCAAACATCTCATTTTGGGGCTGAAGTGAAGCCCCTTCACCTTATGACCAAGACTGAACTCTCACTACATTTGGCCTTTGGCAGAGATCATGTATATATTGTTCAACATTTTGCAAATCCAATGTGAGACTTGGGGCACTGCTGTAAGGATGGGGTGGTTCTGCAGGTTGCCTGCTTCTTGGCTTGCTCACCCATTTCCGTGGACTTACTGAAACTTCCCTGCAGTGGAGGCCAGCCAGGATTTTTAATTGGATGGGGCATCCCAGAAAGCCAAAGCTAATTTGTCCATTCTCAGATGAGTTGTTCTAAAAATCTTATTCCCTGGTTACACAGAGAAATCGAAGTTAGTCTGGGATGGCAAATTGAAGCAAAATGCCATGAGTCCTCAAGGCAAACAGAGCTGAAGGATCACTGAACTTTGGCTCAGAAAGCTGGGAGTCCAGTTTCAAGGCATGAGACCAAGCTGAAAGACTAAAATAGACTGACTTGAAAGGGGAAAAATAAAAATCATGAGAGCAAATTATGCTCTGACTTACCACGTGGTATCTTCTAGTTTGTTGAAAAGAAAAACTTATTTTGATACTGTGGTTATGGCCCAGCTTTAGAAAGACAATGACATAACAGGTATCACTACACAGGCAGATAGAAGGAAAACTGATCTGTAGGGGAAAGACTGAAGGGAAGCCCGATGGCGGCAATGTTTGCATGTACAAAACTACGAACATAAAATAAGGCACATAGTGCAAGGATTAGAGATAAAAGGTGAAAAAACTGAAGAAAGCAGGTTAGCTATCTGGAAAAGCAAATGAAAATGACTTTGTATATTCCCCTCATTCTCAAAAAACAGGTTGAAGCATCTTTTCTTCATGTGCAAATGTGCCCTCAGATTTTTAATTTTAATCCATGTTTTCCCATACGAGGCAGAATTGATCAATGTGGTCAAAATAAGCATTAACTCTGTTTATGGAAGGAATTTGGATCCTCTAGAAAATATGAAGACCTTTGTATAATAATAATAATAAAAAAAGGTTATATCATTTAAAAAAAATTATAATAATAAAAATAAAGTACATTTATCCAGAATTTGCTTTCAATATATTAATTTATTTTCTAAATTTAGAAATTATTTTTTGCTTCCCAACATGCATTTACAAAATGCACATGCATGGTAAGAGTATGTGACATCTCAAAATAGATTTGGAAAAGGGCTTGTAGAAACCTTTCTGCAGATTTTAATACTCTTTGGATTAGGCCCTTTAATAACAATAACTATGTGACACAGGCATTTGCCTTTGGAACCTCAAGCTGGGTCAAGTAATCACATCTGGGAAATACAGTTTCTGTTTCTTCCCTGGTCTTCTGTGGTCACATTTTTAGTAGATCAGTTTTGACAGCGCTCATTTAAATGTTTCCTTAGTTCATGGTAAAAGAGGGATGAAAGTGGCCCACAGAAATCTCAGGAGGAATGTATGAATTCAATCATAGCAAGAAACATGAATTAATCCCTTTCTGCCATGTACTGACATGGAGGTAACCTTGCCAACAGTTAGGGATACGTTTTATGTCCTTCTCAGTATGTTCCACAGTTATGTATTTTCTCTCTAGTTTTCTTTCTTTCTTTTTTCCTTTTTTAAACTTTTTTGAGCTGTGAAGAGTGGGATATACTTTAAAAAATTCTAAGATTATTTAGTCACGTAACCTTAAGTACAATGATTTTAAAGAGTCTCAATATCACAAATCTCATGGTGAAGCCAAAAAGTTGCCAGCACAGTGACATGATAGCACTGTACAGTGATGCCTTATGTTATGTTCCACAGAACCAGCACTTTTCTTTAGCTAGAAATAAGTGTTTTAAGAACATATTTAGACACCATCTCCTAATGATACTGACTGGCAGCAGCTACCTTATGACTCTCATAGTCATCTTTCCACACTGCTTTATTCAAGGGACTAGCCAAACTGTTTAACCTGTGAATCGATTTCACAAGACCTGAAAAAAATGTGTAATGAAGTAGCAACAGTTTAAGATTTCTTACAGTGGGATTGAAAATAGGGGTTATTTATGACAGTGGCTCAAGTAAATAGAATAAGAATCTACGTGTACACTAGTGAAATATTAGTTCTATCTGACACGGTTGTCCCCTGTGCACATGTACTCATTACTTTCTTATAGATAACAATTTCTCTCACCATAAATACTGCCCTTTTAGTAACACAATATGGCATCATCAGCTATCTTGTCCTTTATCAAGCAATACATTTTCATATGATTTATATGCACACATTTTTCACAATGACAATTGGCTTCAAGATAAAGACAGACAAAAAATGTATTAAAAAGCAGAGTAAGCACCACCACTTTGCTTGATATTTCATTAATAAGCAATGCACAGCTGCATTGTTAGTGTCTGAAAATAATACCCTTGAGAAACACAACTGAGGGTGGACTGAGAAAGTCTTTGTCTCATGGGGAAACAGCAAACTGGACTATTACATTTTATTTTAAAAGGATGCTGTTCTATACATTGCCTAAAATTCAACAGATTTAACAAAAAGAAGGAGAAAATATAACCCTGCACCCTGCTTTTCAGATTTGATTATTTACATATCAGGTTTGAATCATTGTGAGAGCTTCATGTTCTGTTTTATGCTCAAGAAATCCATTCAGTGGATATGCCAATACCCAGTAAACAAATATACTCAATAAATGAATAGAAGGAAAGTAAGGAGAAGAGAGCATTGCCTGAGTTCAGTGTTCCATGCTTTAATTGACTGACAGAAGCCTCCAGTTATAAAGTTTCAACGTTTTTCTTCATTGCACAATCTCCTGTAATATTTGTCTGTGACCTCAAAGTTTCCCTAAACTGGTACACTAGAAATGGGAAACAAAGATAGGTCATCTCTATCTGCTACAGTGTGTGGTTTTCTCCCATCTTTTGGCCACTGATTGGGAAAGTGCAGTTTGAAGAATGACAAGTATTTTGAACACATCTCTTACTCTTTTTTTAACACATTTTTCTGATAATAATGTAAACTACCATAAATATTACCATCGCTGCATTAAAATTTTATTTACAAATGCTCCTCTTTAAATATATTACAGCAACCAAATAGGGATCAACTTATCTTTCACTGCAATCTCATCTATTATAGGCAAACATGATATCTCAAACCTTTCACATCTGTGTCAAAAACAGGGAAACATTTTTGCTTCCACAACTCTTATGGGGACCTGTTCCAAAACCTCACTGTTCACACTTGGAAGGTGGAAAATTAACTTATTTTCACTTTGTTTCATAATACACAGGCCCATCAATTTATTTTATTCTATTAACAGCCTTGCTGGGTAAATTTTAAAGTTTCTCCTTATGCTAGTGAGTATGGGTGTTAGGAATTGTAGTCAGTCTTCCAGAGGAAGTCTTACAAGTGTCTTGTGTATGATGCCAGCAATTCCTTATCTCTATAGGAAATGTCAGATGATGCATCTTAGGAATATATTACTTTTTTTTTTCAGATGCATTGGGCTGGTGGTTTGCAATAATCCTTTGATCAACCAAAATATTCCATTCTGACATCCTCTCTCAACAGTTATTACTATTGGGTATCAGTGAGATTTTATACTACTACTCTTCATCCCATTTTTGTTTCTCTGGTCTTCAAAACCACTAGATATTTCCTGTATGAAATTCTAAGCCTTCTCTGTCATGGTAATGATCTGCCAGCTTCATATTATTGGAAGAGCTTTACATTTTGTGGTTAGCATCATTACTGACAGCATTAGAAAACAAATCTGTAAGGAATTCTGTTAGTTCTTGACTTTCTATTCAATTTCTTGTCTTTGTTGACGTATTTCCAAAGCCTTCCAGAAAATAAACACAAAGCAATTAAATCTTTGCAATGTAGTCTGCATCTGGAGAAGTAATTTGTATGAGGTAGCACAAAAGGTGCATTTTTTGTCAGGCTGCCACAGACCCATGGTGAATGATATGGGTCAACTGGAAAGATTCTTCAGCTGCTTACAAAAGATGCAACTCAAATATAATTACCTTCATAGTCGAAACAAATCCAAATTAAACAAATAACTGCTGGAAATTATACAACCATTTGCTAAATCAATCCATATCTATCCAACTGTACCAGAGACATGCAAGCAAGTTTTAGGCAATCATTTATATTCTTTCCATCAAAATACTCTGTTTAAATATTCATTATTGCCTTGAAAGTTTTGTATTTCATCCTACAACAGTATACCAACATAGATGTTAGAAATATCACAAGGAGAGGATTCCTATCAGACTTTTAATATCCTCCTACTAACCTTAGGTGGTTTAAAGGGATAGTCCGGTGAAAAGGTAATGTCAAGGAAGAAAACTCCACCTTCATATACTGACCCTGGAGGTCCCAGTATAGTTGACCTCCATTCATAAATGTTGTCTCCTTTGGGTCCAGCACTAAAATAGAAAACAAAAAAAAAATAACATAATAACCACATACAATTAAGAAAATACTGCATCAGTTACACTCTATTAGTAGTAGTGCTGGATTTGCAGCAACGCTTTGGGTTGAAAATTGAGTACTGTAGTTGATTAGTTAGTCCTGCATGACACATCTTACTGGTGTCCTGAGCTCTGTCAGTGAAGCGATATATTCAGCCAGGAAGAAGTATTAAAATCACATTATAAATTATTCAAATAAGCACAGAAAAATTCCTGGCGGTCTTATCTCAAATATTCTACTGGGCAGATGTGAAGTATTTACTGTACAAGGATACAGAGACTTTGCTGAGATGCCTTGTCACCGTCTTGCCTCACAAGCCATCCTATTTTCATCTACCTTCTCATCCACCTACCTCATCAGTAGCAGTGTAATTACACACATTATTATACAGCACATACTGTACTAATGACAGCGTGGTACAAATGACCTTGCAGCTGCACTTTCTAAGTTACTATCCTACAGACTCCTGTCACTAGTACAGAAAGCTGCTTTAGATGGCAATTTTTATGCTATCTTAAAAAGTCATAAACAAGAAGCAGGTTCAACTGTTGGATTAAGTTAATTCAAAGTTCTCACTTAAAAACACTGTACTGAAACAATATTTAAAATCTTGTCTACACAGTCAATGCTTGGAAAAAAGCAAATTAAAAACTAATGAATTTTTTGAGCATTACTATTCCAAAAGCTTATATAGCCTTTTTTCATACAACATAATGCTTATCCAAAGAAAGATGTATTTTACCCAGAGTGGCCTCTTAAGATATATGAAGACTTCTTTTTAGTTCACAGCCTGCTGATACAAGTCCTTGAAACAGGACATGAATTTTAATTAGGATCAGTTGGGATGGGAACTTCTGAATATCTGATCAATATTTTTCAAAGGAATGCAGCGTTGGTAGATTTTTTAAGTAAGTGACGTGGTATTGTCTTAAGGCATTTCTTGTGAAACTATTCGTGTTATATTTGCAATAAAGATTTCCACAGTATGCAAGGGTTAGTGAAATAACCCTGCGCACAGAACAGATGAAAGCTCTTGGCTATGCTCCATGCCTCACAATGTACCCAAGGCATACAATTATTATACGACATCATGTCATGTTCACTACTCAACTATTCATTTTGTTCGCTGAAAGTTAATAAAACCCTCTTTCACCTGAAATTCCTTGGGCTCCCTTCATTAAAACTTCTGACTGCATGATTCCCTTCATACAATGCAGTGTCTTAGTGTGGCATAGTTCATTAGTCATGGTACCTACATCAATTTTCTCTAATAGCTGTTAATGCTTCTTGGCTTTCTAAACTATGTGCTTTCTTAACAAAAATGGGTTACAGAGAATATAACATTATGGAACATTAATTAGCTATCAGCCATAGTAACACGACTAACAATTGTTTTAAAGATAAAATCTGGCTTTTAAAATGTCACAGTAGCAAAGTGTTGACTGTTTGCCATCCATCTATCCATCCATCCACCCACCCATCCATCCATATTTCACAGTGTCTGCAATACATCAAGTTGCTAGCTGCCAAACAAATTTAATTTACCCAGTTCTCAGTTTGCATTAACCTTTGAATAATAAAGCACAGCTGAGACTGCTCTAAGAAACAAACCAGAAAATGAATAATTAAAAACACCTCCACTGCCTTTGGAAAGACCAATGCCGAGTCAACAGGGAAGGTTTAATTGTGACTGAACTAGGCATTAAGGGGCTAATTGAACTCTTTATAAACCCAAACGAATGTGGGACTACATCAGTGCTATGATATACAAAGTTCACAGAAAGTAAAGCCTTAAAAAAAAAAATAATCAGGCAATTAGTTCAACTAAGAAGAGGTAAGAAGCAGGGGCAGCCTAAATCTTACATGAAACAAGTCTCTAATACGTGAAGGAAATCCTTTCTCATTTTCTGCAGAAAAATGTTCTAATACTTGGAGAAGAAATGACTCAGTTGATGCCAGCAGGTTAAAATGGAAGTGATATAAATGTCAATCCCTGAGAAACAGTTGAAAAAAGCAAGCAACAACAGCAAGCCCTGTCTTTATTAGAGCTTACATAGCCAGCAGAGAGGATGGCTGGGCTTTTCTTGGGTTTGAGCAAGGCTCACTTTTTTGTTCAAAACTTCCTCTGATAGTGGCAGTTTCATAATGTATATTATTTTTATTTGTTTTGCCTATTTATTTAATTGCATTAACATTTGAAATGAGCATTCATTAATTAAAATAGTTGGAAAATGCTCCATCTGCCAGTTGAACTGTTTCGGCACATCCAGCTACAAACCCAGCCTGATCACATTCTGAGATGCTGATTAACATTAATTGAAGGTTTTCTTTGCAAATGAGAGATGAAGCTTTATTAAGCATTTTTATTAATTCGAAGAATAGCTGGAATTGTATAGAGTGTGGGTAGATTGCTGTTATCAATGTTGCCTGTTGGAGGGCTTGCTGGCAGCAAGGCCATTCAGCTCATGTAAAATACGGATTCATGTGCACAGTCAACAGCTGGTACTGAGGGCAACAGCATGCACAAGCATAACGTTTTTTCCCTTGCACATTAATAATACAACAAGTTTGACAGGTGTATTATCTTTGTTTCCCTTCTCTTCTAATTGTTAAGCCTTTTATTTATCCACATTATTGGCAACAAGCACTACGACTCATCAGACTTCACCAGAGAAAATTCCCATATGTGCAAGACCTCAGCCAGAGCCTGATTCTGTAAGGTTTATAATGCAAGAGGATTTAATTGCCCTTCTTTCTACATGGATATTTGCCCAGCACACTGAAACCCAAATGGTTTACATTCAGTGTGATTTATATTCCGACTCTATTAGTGTTACTGGCAACTGAACCACAGATCTCAAAGAAAGTAAACTAAACATCTCAGTGCCTGGAGTCCTGTCATCTTTGGAAGGACAGATTCGGATGTACACCTGCTCAGCAAAGGGCAAACTAAGGGCAAACTGCCTTGAACTGAGCCGATCCCAGACAAGGCATGTAAGAGCTGGTGCTGCCAACCTGGTGCAGAATCAATGGAGATGGTAACTCCCAGTGCTTCCTGTATTATCTCCTCGCAGCAGAGGGCTGAAGGGGTGCAGCTGGGCAGGAAGGCCCTTTGAGGCTTTAAGTTACCAAGGCTTATCAAAAGGCAGCTCCCCTCTGCCATTACTTCCCACAGAGCAAAGCCTGTTCCACATGCCTGGAGCTGAGGTGGCTAGATGTGGAGCCCCTTTTGGCAGCAGCATGGGTGTATGATATTCAGGAGAAAGAAGTCAATAAAATCATTTCCTTTGTACTCCACTTTCCTTCGCCTCTGCCTGTATCCATCCATTCTGTCTCTACTTCCAACGTATGTACTTGCAAATGAAATGTATGCACTCAATTGCAGTTAGTTGCAAAATACTTTAAATGCTGCTATAACTGAATTCATTTTGCTTTAAATACACTTAATGTGCTGAGTGTTTTCCATTCCCTCAAGATGTTTTAGGCAGGCAGTCACCTGAAAGTAGTGCAGCTAAAAACTGCTTGTCCAGTACAATGAATCAAAAATCCCAGGCTTTCCCTGCATTTAGAACATACTAAAATACTCATCCTAAAATGATGTTGAAGGGCTGTGTGTAAGCAACAGCTTGTATGAGACATTCCAGATGAAAACTTATCTGGAGAAGTTAGAAAAGTACCGTTGACTTTTAGTTTTATCAGAGCTGATTTTCCTTTGCCAGAATATAATTCAAAACAGTGAAAATACAGAAGGTCAAAGAAATAATGGTATCCCACATGTTTATCAAGTAGCCATATGGAATAAGTTAGTCAAAATAATGTTATTATTTTCTAATCTAAGTTAAGTTTCTTGACTAGGGATCACATGCCTCCCCGGTGTCTATAATGAGGTAGCATAACCTCATGCTTTGTTTCTGGTGAAGTGGAAAATGAGGACCAATCCAGTGTCTTCCTTTGCACTCTTTGTCTCTAATCTTGTGGGAATCTACTTTTACAGAGTAGCTGCACTCTTTAGCACAAGGGCAAGGCAAGCCTGTAGCACAAGAAAAAGAAGTAACTTCAGTTGGCTTCCTACTTCTGATGTGTGAATGGTGTGTGAAGGGAGACAATCAGGCCAAATAAAACAGGAAAGCAGGATGGCTGAGAATCCTTCCCATTCCTCAGTACTCAGAAAGAACTGGAAATGTTCTTCCTGCCTGGCTGAGGTTAAGTTCATTTTTATCTTCTTCTTTAGAATAGGGTGGAACCAGTCTGTTGCACTAACTTTGTCCATGCTAACTTACGTTCTTTGATATTCTCTATGGTAATTCATCTTTGTCTAATGTGAACTGCATCAGCACATAGAAACAAACCTCAGAACTGCGGTTCCCCTGCATGAAGTGCAGTCCGTGGTGTACACAGACCCTCTAACTATCTTTGGTAACATATGGCAGCAGCAGAAGGGCCTATGTAATGTTTACTGTTTAAGCAATTTACCTCTGAAGATAGCTCACCACACAATCATTTCCCCTTGCAAGACATACAGCACAATTTCTTGCAGTCCTGTTCTGTGCACATCTAAAGTCATGCTGGAATTGATTCTGCCTCTAGCAGCCTCAGTGAATGCTTCTGAGAAGCCACTTGTCCTGAGGGCAAAGTGGATACTAAAGTATTGGGAGATTGGCAAAATAATTTAAGAGTGCAGCTGGTGGGAAAAGAGGATGAATGTGACAAAACAGAAGACTGCAGATTCAGCTCTCAGTGAAGATACATCTCCTGAGAAACTCAGATGAAGCCTCATTAAAACAATCCCAGTACGTAATCCTGCTCTGTTTTGAATGCTGTGCTAAGCAAAAGCATTTCTTTGGTCTGCACCACAAAGCAGGACTGTCCCTGGGCCAAGTGATTAGCAGTGGGGCTCTGTGGCTGCTGGATAACCTAGGGAGAAGTAAATCAGCAGAAGGCATACTGAAGCCATCAATACCTGACCCATGGGCACACCCAGCCCAGGCCTATGCAACAAGATGCAAAAACAATAGAGTTGAGAAGTGCTGGCATCATGCCCTCACGAGCAGCTGTTGTCCTCAGCCCTCCTTTCCCACTGCTGTCTCTTAGGCAGTGTCAGTAGCACCAGTCATCTACTCTCTTCCCAGTTTCCTCTTCTCTCCATTTTCCACTCCCACTCAGGTTTTCATCCCCTCCTCTTCCCTCATTACTGACAATTCTTCCTGTATTTTCTAGTTTCTCTTTGAGTGTGCTGCCTCTCCCTGCTTGCTGCATGATAAGAAATTTCTTCATGGAAGATATTTCTTCCTTTCAGATTCATGCAGATCTCCTTCCCCATAAGCACTCCTTTTTTTCTCTTATGCATAGCCATCAAC